AGAGAGTGTGTGGGGAAGGACATGCAGGAGAGAAGCCACAGGTGGGACTTGAACCTGGGCCGGCTGCAGTGAGGACTACAGTATTAGTATGCTAGGCCTTTCTTTATATAGAGTGCAGACACACTGATACAGTCATGTGCAAACTCAATTTTTTTTAACTTTAATTTCAGCACAAATCTCACTTAAGGACTATGGTTCTTTAAAATTTAGTTTCGCTTTTGGAAGGCATCTCGCGACCCATCTCTTGGTGTCTCGCGACCCCCAAGGCGGTCCCCACCCCCACTTTGGGAACCACTGGGCTAGGCCATCTGTGCCCTTGGAGATATCTCTTCAAATCAAATGAGTTTCTCTTTCAGTCGTCCAACGCAGAAGAGAAGAAGAGGAGGCAAACGTGGTCGAGACAAGAGCGATGAAATGTTTTGTGTCTCTGCTGAACTCGCCCTTAAACTACCACAAAAGAGAAAAGTAAGCAGCATAAGCTTTTATGCTTCAGTAACGGAGAGTTCTTCTGAAACGGTTAGGGATTAAAATTCACATTCTGAGACATGACAACGATTAGCAGCAAACTGGATTTTGAAGCATTTTTATAGTTTTCCAGCGCTGATTGTAAAGTAATCAAACTTCCACGTTTATTTATATAAGAGACCTAAATATAACAATAAAGACGCAGTATAAAACTTTGAACAAATCCAAATGAATTACACAATAAATTTGATTTTAAGAAGGGCCTGTGTGAAATGCAAATTTGGAAGCAAGCCAAATGTGTGAAGACTGAATTTAGCCCTTTACAGATGAGGTCAAACTTTAAAATGTCCCAAAGTTCAAGTCTTCTGCCTTACTGAGGCCCCTGCTGGAGTTGTCACAGTCCAGCGTGTTTCCCTGCAGCTTGCTGACTCCTCTGCCTGGATGACAAGTCTGTCCTGGTGCAGCGAGTACCACTTCAGCCCACAGAGGGGCAGTGTTGAGTTAAAGGGGAGCCCTCTATTAACACAGCTCCTTGGTGGGACGGACTCCTTGCTGCTGCTCTGTGGGTGTTGTACAGATCTGAACGTAAGAGAGGAAGGTAAAGTTTGCTCTTTCTGTGTATCTACTATTATCCCACTTAGAGCCAAGCAACGAACCTGGGAGGGCAGAGCCTTCTTCATAGCTGCCCCCTCCCTCTGGAACTCACTCGCTACACACATTCAACACTGCACTGACCCTTCTACTTTCAAATCACTGATCAAAACTCACCTCTTTAAAAAAAACCTTTTAATGTATGATTGTGATGTGTGTTCTGTTTTTCTGTAGCTGTACCTTCATGTTGTTGTCTTTATGATTAGTTTGTAATGTTGCAATGTCTGTCAGTCTGTCCTTACTGTCTTTTTAACAAATGTACAGTGTCTTGAGATTGAAAGTGAAGATAAACAGACGAACCCGCATCCCTCATCAAGTCTTTTACAACTCTATATAAAACGAAAGTGGCTTACTCTGAATCCTTGAATGGCCCTTTACTATCACAGATAATCATATCTGGCACTTGTGACAAATGAATCATTAATTGCTATCTTTCTTTATCACTAGAAATCCTAATCTTTGATCCCAATTTAATGGCTAACATGTTCAAATGGGGGCAATAACCTTACAGTTTAGTTTTGCTTACCTCCAGTTTTTATTGTCCTGTTAACCTTACGCATTCAACAACTTTCAGCGCTTGAATCCTATTTTAAAACAACTTATTAGTTGCACCCTCCATTGCTCTAAAAATAAAGGCAATCTTAGTTTAACCTTAGATGTATTTAAAGGTCACATATTAAAGTATTTTTTAACCAGGTTAAGGTGTGGAATGCAGCCGTGCTGTTTTAAGGACTGTAGCCTCTGTACATGGGATGCACAAATGAACCACTATAACCTATCCACCATTGTACCAACCATTCAAATAAAAAGTTCCAAAAAAGCATCAGAAATGATCACTCCCATCTCCGTTTAACAAACAAGCATTTGAAATGTGTTTTTCTTCTCCTCTTTAGGACAAACCTCACAAAGCTTGACTTCACAATCAAATATTTTTCATACTGCCAAAATAAGCAGAAGTGAAGTTGCCGTATAAATTATTATCTATGAGATTGAAACTCAAGAGAAACAGATGAACCCTCACCATCATCTTTGTTATCAAGTCTTTTAGAACTTTATATAAAACGTGAAAACGAAAGTGGCTTACTCTGAATCCTTGAATGGCCCTTTACTATCACAGATAATCATATCTGGCACTTTTGATAAATTCATGAAGCATTAATTGCTATCTTTCTGTATCACGAGGAATCCTAATCTTTGATCCCAATTTAATGGCTAACATGTTGTTGGGGTTGTATCAAGTCAACTTTGGTTATATTCTTTAATAATTATACTTAATTATTAATAATATAAATAAAATATCATTAAACTGTTTAATCTCGTTTTGGGGCACCAACCTGTAATCAGGTAAATATAACCAAAATATCACTCAAATCAGTCTCAAATGAGTTATTTAATTACTAATATTATTAATAATGAATAACTATATTTAATAAATTGAAGGCGTGAAATCCGTACACAAAGCCTTCACACCCAGCTTATATCACAATGCAAATACACCAGTAGTCACAAACAACTGCTCTCTTAAATTATAACAGAATTTATTTAAACAAAGCAACATCAACCCAAAATCAATGAACAAATAACTATTATAAACTAATCTAAGCAACAAACATTATCAAGCAAGGCTTGTGGATGATGTGTAAATGTGTGTGTGTGTAGATGAGTGTGTATGCAGATGTGTGAGAGAGAGAGAGAGAGAGAGAGAGAGAGAGAGAGAGAGAGAGAGAGAGAGATAGAGAGATAGAGAGATAGAGAGAGAGAACAAGATGGTGGAGAGAGACAATGCACCATGTGGCTTCGTCACATGGTGACAAAATGGTGGACAACAAAGGAAGCCGTGTGGCTACCTTTTGAAATAGTTTGAGCTCTCTGAGCTGAGTTCAGTAACTGTTCCTTAAACACCAGAAAGCCAGTGGTCGGGCTTTGATTCAACGGCGGGTACACTGGTCTTTCTGATTGTGAAAGCCGTTGACTGAAGGTAAACTAGCATAGCATTACGTACATAGACGAACACAGCAGTTCATTACAATAAAACAAATGCAGCAGCTTACAACAGATAATATACAGAATGTGACGTGTCGTCAACAATGATGCATAATTATCAGTGGTTATAAAAGAAAACATAACTATTTCTGAAACTATTTCTGCCCAGACCAAAGCTCTTACTTGGGGTAACTCCTGGTGATCGTTGCAAAGTTGGTTTGATCGTCACTCTGTTGAATGTTAAATCAACAGATTCAGGCAGGTTTCCTTCGTGGCAGATGTAGGAGGAGGGTAGCGGGATTCAGATCTTCGACCAGAGCGCTGCTCTATAGGGTCTTCTGGTTGCAGGAGCCGAGTTCTTTATGTGTCCTTGTGGATTCAGGGATCAGTGGGCTTCCTTCAGCGCTCCTGTCCAGTTGCGTTCAATGACGTCTTACGAAAAATCAAAGGAAAGAAACTCTTCTTTTTGCTCGAACCTGATAGCATCTGATTGCGCCCAAAACTCCTAAAAATATGCCGTGGAAGTAGTCAGCTGAATCCTCTGATGCTTGAATTCAGCATGTGTATGAGTATGAGAACAAAATGGCCGAGGCCCTTAACGAGCTGAGAGCCGAACATGAGGAGAAGTTCCGCATCTATAAGGAGGAGATGGAGGAGGCCAACAACCTTAAGGTATGGCTATCTTTAGATCTTACCTTGTTTCTTCTACAGGACAAGCATACAAAGTCATAACTGTTTTGCTGGGATCTTAAATTGGATTGTGGACAAACACAACAGCAGTTTTTGTAAAAAAAGAATCGACTTTTTTTTTGTGGATTGGGTTTTTTATTTCATATTGAGAAGTCTATTTGGGAAAGCTATCTTAACAGGAACGATTGCAAAAAGCAACTAGCTAAAGCTAAAGATGTGTTTCAAACAGTGCTGTTTTCATGAGCTGTTTCAGGGCCGTAATCCACTGCTCACTGTATCATCTCTATGTCTATCAGTTGGCAACGCTCGTAAAGAAGCGGACCGGTGCAACAACCAGATGGGAGCAATTTTTGAAGATCTTCAGCAGGCCCACAAGAAAATGAAGGACATGTCCGGCCAAATCATTGATTTGCAGAAACAGGTTCACATAGTCATTATATTTGTCGATCACACTTTCTGTCTCTAATACTTTAGCCGTCTGCTGGCTTTACTGGTGTGTGTGTGTGTGTGTGTGTGTGTGTGGGACCAACATGAGGCTCTGTCGAGGGAGCGCAGGCCCAGAATGAAGAAAAAGAGCGGGAGATACGTGATCTTAAAGCTGAATTGCAGAAGCGGGAGGATGAATTCCAGAGGCTGCAGGGTGTCAAACTGAGCCTAGACATGGAGATCATTAATTACAGGAAGATGCTGGAGGGAGAGGAGGAGAGGTTGTTGTCAAATATATTCTACACCATGTGGAAAAACATATCCACCTTCGGACAAATAAAGCTTTCTAAGATTGTGGACGGGAGGTATCACAAACAAGAAAAAAAACACTACTCTCTGCTGACTTTGACTTTGCCTGATGGTAAAAACAATGAATCTATAAACTGGTTCAGATCAAATGATCATTTGAAAATCTAAGTATACTGTAATAATGTGGACAACAGTGGAAGTGGAACAATGAGAAAAGTTGGCATTCCACTTTCAGCTCCATAAATGTTTGGGTTGAACTGACAGGCCTACACAGATGTCCAAAGAAGGACCCTCCAACAGCTAAGATTTGTGCAGTGTGGACGTGAGGTGTGCATCAGCAGAGGCCATAAAGCATTGACCTACCAGAGCATAAACAGTGACTGTTTCCTGGCTCTTGCTCCTCTCCTCCGAAAGAACCTCTCTACCCAGGGCCGGATGCCATGTACAATCTGCTGTCTCTTGCTCTCTCTCTCTCTCTCTCTCTCTCTCTCTCTCTCTCTCTCTCTGTCTCTCAGAGAGGGCAGGAAAAGAGAGACAGGGAATGTAGAGAGTAGAGAGCTGCAATGACTTGCTGCAAAGGATGGAGGTCGGATTCAAACCCATTTGGTTTAGACCAAAATTGCAATCGACAAGTCAGACCTTGCGAAAGTTGGAAATCAGAATCAGCTGAAGATTTTTAAATCTGGACGTGTCAGCATAAATTCAACCTTGTGCAGGTCGGGTACTTGGCTGCTGACTATTTCTATTTTAAGTATTAATTTCAACCACTCATTGGAGCTGGTTGGTCGCAGAAGAAGAGTGCTGGAACAGAAAGGAGAAGACAAAAGGCTTTTCACCAACATTGTGAGACTGTATCTGTATGTTCACTGAATGCCTTACTCTAATTCAATTATCTAAATTATCTCTCTCTCCTCAGGCTGCGCCGGTCACCTAAGGCTTCACCTTACAAAGACAAAGCAGCAGGGACCCCACGGTCCAGCCACACCAGCCCCCTGTTCCCGTCTACTGCTGGCCCGTCCAGCAGCACCAAGAAGCGCCGCCTCAGTGGCAATCACGGCGAAACCTCTGGCGTGGCCGGAGGCACCGTGACCAAGACTCGCATCAAGTGGCACGCATCAGCCTATGGCCGTATTACAGTAGACGAGGTCGACCTGGATGGCAAGTTTATCCGTCTCAGCAACAAGACTGACGAGGTGAGTGGCGGTTATCTATTGGTTAGAAGTTCCGATCTTGTAACTGGGTGTAATTTAATTTAATAGAGATGAGAGTGCACTTAAAATGTAGTGTCAACAACCGACATAGAGAAATGCAATAGAGTCAAAATGTGTCTGAAGACAGCTTCTTCTGGTCTTATATTTTCTCTGTAAAATATTTTCTGAGTCATGGTGGTGTTACAGAAAAGGCTCTGTATACAGATTGTTTCGCATTTTACACCTGTTGTAAAGCACTGAATACAGAATGTGTCTGGTTGATAAAAAGCGAGTTGCAATTATTGAATCTTGGTATGATACAGCTTTTGAATCCCTTGCAGGACCAAGTTCTCAGCAACTGGCGCTTGAAGAGACAAGTTGGAAGTTCTCCCCCCATTGATTACAAGTTTCACAAGGGCTTCACTTTGATGTCTGGAGGAACTGTCACTGTTACACCAGGTTCTCTGTTGATCTTCGATATCTTAGTTTAACTTTTCTCTGCCTTTGCATGAAGGAAGAGAAAATCAATCAATCAATCCTTATGTGATGTGAGAGCTTGTAGAATGTGATGTGATCACATCACATTCTACAAGCTCTCCTATTCTGCAACACATCTACCTTCATATAAAACACAACTCTCAACTTGCTGTGACTGCAGTGTTTCTCAGTGTTCAGTAACTCTGTTTTGTATCGCCCCCTGCAGGAAAGCACCCACAGTGTGGAGAGGGATTACAATTTACAGAGCCGCACAACCATCTCTGAGAGAGATGTACGCAATAGGGGGGGTCCATCTGATGACCTTTAGGGAGATTCTTAATTCATGGAAACCATCGAACCCAGACAGGTACTGTCCAGTTATTGTTTTAAAACATGGATAACAGGAATAACATAATCAGCATGTGTTATGAGAATATTACTTGTATTTCATTTTCTAACTAATTGGCAATGTTTGTAAGAATCTAAATAAACTGAAACAGATCTTTGAAAAAGAATTCATCATATATTTTAGTATTAAGAAATTAAGATTGATGAAATTATTCCAGATCTCAAAGTCTTTGAAAGATTTAATACAGTCACAGAAATACTTTCCCGCAGTACAATTCCACAGGAAAATCTAGAATCTGAAAACACTCACAGAACTAAAAAGATGAACTCAAAATGATCCTTATTTGAAGCCACTTTTCTATCGAGAGTGCACACTTGGCCACCCCTCTGGATGCTACTGAATGCTTAGTATTATAAACGTAGAGGATTGCAAATCAACCATCTCGTACATCCTCTGAAGGAGTGCAAACACTTATTTTCCAACTCGTTCTCACAGACCTTGTTTTTTTTCCAGGGAAATATGACAAACATGAAAACAACATGCTTAAATGTGATTAATGTAATTTTTTTCTTAATGATGCAGTTATGCCTCAAATACTTTGCTTGTAAAAAAAAAAAAAAAAAGTGATTGGAGGAGCCAGTATGCATACACAATAAGAAAGGCATCACTTCAGCCTCATTTTGAGCCAGAAAAAAACCTGGTGCAGTTTTCCTGTTTTAATTTTTCTCTTTTTCAATCCCTGATTCGGGGCGGTGCGAGGTGCGAGGCTGGATGGTTATCTGTTAAACCAGATAACACCTCATGGGAACCCTATGGAGAATGGTTTTCTCGAGTCAGGATGTTTCATCTACATTTATCACATTTTTTTTTGTACTCTGATTTCCACAGGGTAACTTTGATTTGACGTTAAAAGGAAAGGGCACATGATTTTCATATTGAGTCTTTTGAGAATGAGCCCTGTGGTGTTTGTTAGTCTGTGTTTATCGCCCATTGAATAGATCAAATCTTGATTCAGCATGTGGGATGTTTATAGATGACGTTTGATTTACTTGTTTTTTTAAATCATATTGTGCTATTTTTTTTTTATACTTTTTTATACTTTATAGAAAAAATCAGGTTCGAAATGTGTCCAAAATAAGTTGAAGTACTGTAAGCTTTGGATGCTCTGCAGGCTGTTTTTCATCTGAGCGGTAAGGCTGGGCGATATGGACAAAATGATCGTCTTTTGTTGTTTAGAAGAATGGCGATACTCAATTTATATATTTTATTTTCAGTTAATAATTTCAATTCCGCATGGGCCAGATGTCACACAGTCATTTTTATTAACAGCCAGCTGCACAATGTCAACATGTAGGATGAAAAATGACCCCAAAATCTTCTTCATGTAAAAAAAAATGCCCCTTAAAGGTCGATTCAGATTAAATGTTTGTTTCAGCTTGTGAACACAACTTTTAAACTGGGCCCCTCCTCATGGGCTCTTTGCCCCCAGAAGCACACACTCACTGCAGGACTGTGTGTGTTCATGTACTGCCTGTAGCCTACCTACACTGCAAGCTACCTGAGAATATATATTTTATTGTGACGGTGTAGGACTAGATGTGCTCGGGTGGTCAGATGTGATCCGGGGTCCTTTGCCTGCAGTCTCATGACTGTCAGCCATACTCTGGTTTTTGCTGCTTCTGAGAACAGGACATAAGGGCTCATATTTCTAATCTCCTTTCAGCTCACTGGCTATAAATTTCCCCTGGCATGATTTGGGAGACTGAGTGGGATTGTGGGATTTGTATTCTTTGTGATTTGTGACAATCATAGCAAAGCATTCAATTGAAAATACTTGATCTTTGATGATGGTCTTTATCTTATCTGGTGTACTTTATGGACACTATGCTGTAATGTATTCTTTTTGTATTATTATTATTGTAGCCTGGCAGATTTTTTTCCCTACTGTACTTAATCAGAGCAAAAAAAATGTTACAGTAGATCCTCTTTTATTCCTTAATCAAACATCTGATTTTGACACTGATCACTAAAGTGCCTTAAAAAGTTTATGACAATCAATAAAGTGGTTTAATCAAATGTGTTTTGTTTTGGTCTCTAAAGCATTTTTCTCATATGCACTCCTGAAAATATCTAGATCATTTCAGGGGGACTACTCTGGATATTCTCCTGACCTGGCTGTTCACATACAGCACACATCTCACAGCGGGAGACTATCCCTATCAGACGGAAATATTTGCCTTTATATCATTGCTACTTGTGGTTCAACGGAATCACAATACCAACATAAGAATCGTGAAGAAGAGATCGTAGTGGTGGTGTGCAGACACTCAATGCACTGTGCAGACAGACCCTAAGACAGATCTATAATAAACAAAAACATGGCATTTATTTCATATGTTCTTTGAAAGTTATGAGACACAGGCCTACAAACCCAAAAAGTTGGGATGTCTAAATGTCAACAACAACAATGTGATGATGTGAAAAACATTGAAACACAATATTTAGTTTAACATAGCACAAAGATATCAAACGCTGAAAATTGGGAAATGTCTTTGTTTTTGGAAAAATATATTCCCATTTAGAATTTTATGACAGCAACACCTTTCCAAAAGTTCGGGCCATTCGCAACAAGAGACTGGAAAAGTTGTGGAATGCTGGAAGGAAACACCTGAAATCGGACAGTTAACACGATGAACTGATGCAACAGGTTCATCACAAGATTGGGTATTAGAAGAGGATCCCAAAGAGGACGAGTCTATCTGAAGTACAGTAAACATGGGGAGGGAGTCACCCCTCTGTGAAGATGGTGCTGGAGAATAGTGCAAGAAGAATTACAACAAAATAGTTTGTCAGTGTGAAATCCCAAAAGTGTCTTAATAATAATAAAAGACTCTGTACACAAGGGAAAGGCAAATAAATGAATATTGGATTGCTGTAATCTTCAGAAAAACACACAAACCTTTGTCATGAACATCACTGCTTTGTTTTCAGGACAAGGTCCAGAAGCTGTTGTCTGTCAACACAGTTCAACTCATGTGAAGAGGACACCGTTTACAATCAGGATCCAGAAATGTCACACCTCCCCTGAGCCTGAGGTCATTCAAGATTGACTGAGGTGAAGTGGAAAACTGTCCTTATATAAATTCTGATGAGTCCAGATTTAAATACTGGTTAAATAAATGATGGTTGTCATGCCTCCTGAGCTTAAGAGGAGAGGGGTCATCCAGCTTGTTAGCAGTGCTCGGCTCAAAAGCCAGCATCTGTGATGGTATGGGGTAACCCTCACTTTTATGAAGGCTCCATTAGTGCTGAGTCAAACGTACGGGTTTTGGAGCAACATATGCTGCAAAGTAGACCAGAGGTGCTGCTGGTCAATATGCTTCAAAAAAGCTATTGATTAAAAATATTTTTTTTATTCCAGCGAACAACTGCTTCAATTAATTCACTGACAAAGAAAAAACACTAACGAAAAGTGCAGCCATTTTATTTACATTATACACATGTTACTATGGTTACATTCAAAAATATATGGCCTTGCGTTGTAAAAAAAAAAGAGAAAACTCAAAAGTATAGCGTGATGTACATTCTTCTGGTACACAGGGTTTGTATTTACAGCACAACTTCTTGGATTTGAATATTATACCAAACATTACATTTTTCAGAAATGAACAGGACACAAGAATTTTAGTTGGCAAATCAATTTAGAAAAATAATGATCGACTTCTGTCTGCAATAATTAACAACATTATAACTGCAGCAAAAAAGACTAACCAGCCAATGAAACAGCCAATTCACCCATGACCCAAAACCATATTTAACATGTTTTACAGTTTCCTCTCTTACAGTGTTCCTGTGAGTCTGAACAGTTGGATGGCTGTCGTACAAACAATGTATTATGAAATCAAATGATGCAGCAGAAGAATCAGAGACAAACATCAGCGTGTTAATGTCTTAGATTTAAAGGGGAAGCGCGCCTATTTTGTACATTAAAGTCTGTTTTCAGGTCTTTGAGAGCAGTACTGAATATATAAAAAAAGATTGAATAAAGGGGCACTGATAGCAAAGCGGTTATGTCGCGCGTCTCATGTACAGAGGCTATAGACCTCATTTCGGCAGATCCAACCTCGGCCCTTTGCTGCATGTCATCCTCCAACCCCCCCTCTCTTAACATTTCCTGTCTCTCATCAGCTGCTAAAATGTCCAAAAAACAACTTTAAAAAAGAAAGGAAAAAAGAATTGGTTGGCACTGAGAGAGCTGTGTCCTATATGATAAAGTGCCTTAAGTGATGTCACTTGAGTCAGCCTGAAAATGAAGACAATCTGAATGAATGGACAAAGATAGCTGCTTCTAGATCAATACATGCGAAACGCTGACCTTACCTGGTTGCATTGTGGGTAATGTAGGCACTAAGTTTAGACAAGTAAGAATTCTAGGGCTAGGTAATATATATATATATATATATATCTCTCTCTCTCTCTCTCTCTCTCTCTCTCTCTCTCTCTCTCTCTCTCTACACACACACAGTATACCTGTATGTGCTTCTGCAGCTTGATTTGTTTATTAATTTTGGATGGACAACTCTTGAAAAAACCAATGCAAAAGTGGTAAACTGTTTTATGTGTTTCAGGTGAACTGGCCCTTTAAATACCAAAACAGAAAACAAGTAGCTCTAGGATACTTTGTGTTAAAATTCATAATGCTGTCATGTCATGGCAGCGAGCTTCATCAACTCATTACCAAAATGTTTCAGATCTTTGGTCACACAAACCCCGTCAAAATATGACCATGTGATAATAGGGCCGCTCTTCATAACAGTAAAGATAACAATATATTTTTCTATATTTACAAAGTTTCCATAAGAGAGCAGCAAAACATTCATCATTATCAATATGTATCTAAATGCCAAATGGAGTGAAACATTGAAAAGCAAATCTTTACTACTTTAAAATACGTGACTTTCAAGATTCATGAAATTGAGGATTTTTGATTTTTTTTTTCCCCCATTGTTATACATTTGAATGACCTTCGTCTCTTTTTAAGGTTCCCAAGGTTTCCCAATGAGGATATCACAAGGAAGTCCAGCAGTGATGAGTTCATCATGAATTGCAGATATAGAAATGTATGAGACCTGAATTTAACCATTCAGAAGCAGAATGAAAACTGTAAGTCCAAACTTATCACTTTAGAAAATAAAAACATTACTTTTGAAAAGGGGCTTAAAGACGAAACAAGCCCATTGTGTGGTAGAACTTAAGAGCCTGCTGAAACGAGTTCAAACACTTTCAACTTCCCCGGTTGCTGCTTTTAGCCTTTTAGTCTTTTCCCGTGGGAAATAAATGAGACGTTGGTGTCACAACAGTCCAGCGTTCTTCCCTGCAGATACTGGCTCTTCTGTCAGGATGACAAGTCTGTCCTGGTGCAGCGAGTACCACTTCAGCCCACAGGGGGGCAGTGTGGAGTTAAAAGGGGGGACCTCCACAGTAAACAAAGCCCCTTGGTGGGACAGATGCCTTGCTACTTGCTCCGTGGGTGTTGTACAGATCTGATGAACAGGTACAGTTCGCTCTTCATTAGCAATCATCCCTTTAAGGGAGGAGCAGGGCTACAATCTGCTGCTGTGGCTGTCACTGAGGACTCCTCCTCAGGGATGGTGAGGGGGGTCGGCGGAGTGGCGGTAGGTCGTAATGTCCTGGGATGTGACTGTTCACAGGGAGGTCGTAGTGGCTCTGGGGGTCCTCGTGTGGAGGGTGGCCGAGAGAACTCTGGCGCTCTGGGGGGGGGGATTAAAAACACAGTAAGATTAATTTTCCAGGTAATAATTACAGAAAACTGTAAAGAAAATCTTCGAGCTTCTACCATAAATATCATAAATATCAGGCCTACATCTATTAAAGTGAACCTCAAAGCGGCTCAACTTCAACCTCCATAATTTACATCATCAGTTCTCCCTGATTCATCATCATTACATTACAGTCAACGTTAATATGCCACTGATCAGTCTGTTGTCATTCTTAGCTGTTACTGCTAATACTAGACATACTTTATTTATTGTACCTCCTCCCTGAGTGGACGGAGCAATCTCTCTTTCCCCAGATTGTGGTGAACGGTTTGAGATTCGGTTTGGGATAATACTCTAGCATACTGTTTCACAATTATGATGAAACATGTTTGACCAAACTGAAGGAAACGCTGTCCCATCAGTGTGAACGCAGAACTGAGAACAACAAACCCAGAGGGAGCTTGACTTAACTTACTTTTCAGAAAGTAATTCGCGATTATACATGAAGTCAGGATATATTTGATATCTGCTACATGTTTAAGATGTCTCATTTAAAACGTTTAAAGTTCAACAACAGTACTTTCCAGTCTTCAGTTGTCAGTCTGGCTTCATGTTGATCTATATGTTTACACTGTAATAAAATGCAGGACAAAAAAAAAAAAACCTCCTCAGCAACCCTTTCCTCTTCCTCTTCCTTCCTTCACTTCCTTGTGAACAGTCGTTAAATTCATCCGGAGATGGTAGAGCTGCTCACCTCTGCGTAAAGTGGCCGTGTTGAACGGCGGGCTGATCTCTGTGTATGCTCGCTCTCGCGGCACGGCTGACTTCATCTCCATGTAGCTGCTCTCCGGGGGGCAGAAGGGCAGGCCCGGCAGGTCTTTGATGGTGGCATACGGGTTCTCGCTGTTCAGAGAGCTGCTGCTCACCGCCACCGAGTCCTTCAGCTCTGTCAGCAAAGGAAGCAGCGAGATGTTAAAAAATACATCTGAGGTACATGTGGACGGTCAGAGCGCAGCAGGATTAAAGGTTAGTACAGTATAAATCTAGTATGGGTTGTAACTTTATAGCAGTTTCCTGGACATCTTCCAAAGATTTTTTAATGTTTTTTATGAGTCCCTGAGACGGACTGAGGAAAAGTTTAAGACCTTTTCATTTCATGGATTGAGATGGTTCAAAGAAAACCCAATGGACAGTCAAATATCATGTAATACAATTGTACGTAACATTTTTCTGTACCCCAGCTATCATTTGGTTGGTTTTACAGGTCATTTGTTTGTAACAAACAAGAGTCAGATGTCGTTCATGTTGAAATACTAGTTTACACGCAAACAGCTCAGTGAGGCTGACATAACAAGGCGTTGAGCATGTTAGCATGTTAGCATGTTAGCATGCCGATAATGGGCAGGTATGATATTGACTTGCTGCGATAACACTGTTTAATATTCCGATAATGATATGACTTGCAGCATTTCCAATATGGGGACCGCCATCGTTGGGCTTCAAAGCATCCCTTCAGTAACCAATGGGTGATGTCCCTGAGATACGTCCATATTTCTTTTATACAGTCAATGATTTTTTTTGCAATGAATTCAGACTTCTGTAATGTGATTGTTGCAAATGCTGATATCACCGTAACGACGAGCATCCCTAACATTAACCACATTCGGTATCTTTGTTTAGCATGTTTGCATGCTAACATTAGCTTACTGGCACCAAACACAACATTCAGGCAGTGGAGGCAACAGGCAGGGCTTGAGGGTACAGTATGTGACTAGTTTTGAAATCATTGAATGAATCAATACATCAACAGTAGTAGTCCTCATGGAATCCGACCTCGACCCCTTTCATCGATCACTCTCTCCTCCCAACATATCCTGTCTTTCCTTAGTTTTTCTATCCAATTATAGCAAAAATAGCCCAAAAAAAGGGTCCACATGGTTGACTGACTGATCCGCCGTAAGCCACCACGCTTTAAGAACTAACAATTGACAGAACCAGAGATTTGAGTTCTGAACTGCCACAGACTTTGTTTGGAATCAAAACGATAATGGATCGTTGATAGCTCATTTCCTTCATGATTTTTACCGTTATAAAGAAATTTCTAAAGCTCCTCATTTTACGTCTTGGAAACTTCTCATCTCAATCATGTGGTCGTTTATTTTTGTGGTGCATCACTTTGCCTCCGTAGTTCTAGTAACCATACTTCTCTGTAGTAGATCATAGAGAGGAGGAGAGGTAAAAAGGTGAAAATAGGGTGATAAATTACCTTTGTTGTAATATTTTCCGAGGCTGGCACTGTAGCTGTAGCTCCGGTCGATTCCAAAAGCTCCTGTGAACAATAAAAGACAAATCATGGCAAACTAATCAAAGGCAGACAAACCTGAAAAATCACTACCAGGTGAGTCGAAGCTGGCGGTGCAACGATCACTGTTTATGAGTTCCTGATTGGTTTTTATGGTCTCAAATCAAACCTGCAGCGTTGACTAGAGTGAATTTTTGTCCAAAGAAAATGTGATGGTTGATAAACTTTTCCACAGGCTGTGTAAAAGAGATTTTTCAAGTTTTCCTGAGCTGTAACTGCACGTCTCTGCTCTGAATTCCTCCTGATTTAGCGTACACTATAATGCTTTTATCAATGATGGTATTTTTACACTTGAGACAATAAAAGTTTCTATCTTCTGAGTGTTTTTCTACACTATTGTTTTACGAGTAAACACATCAAACCAATGCAATATTTACTCCTAAATTACTGATTAGTTTGTGTGATAAAACGTACGTAACTCACATCCAATAAGCTTTCTGCTGACTCATAGGTCTAGTCCACACGTTAGGCGGGTATTTTGGAAAACGGTGTACGTTTTGGCCTCTTGTATGCAAACAGCGTTTTAGGTCACCTTTTGGATTTTCAGAAACTCCATGCAAAGTGTTTATGTGTAGATGGGAAAAATCTATTTTGGGGCTTGTAACGTCACGCTGTGCGCAGGTTTCTCCTCCGTTTGACGTCATTGTGCGACGCTTTCACTTATGTTCCCATGAGATTAGTGCGATAGCAGACGTAACCAAACTAGTGCTGCCACTATGTTGACGAGCAGAGGCGCCTGAATGTACAACTTTGTAAAAATTAAAAGGTCATTGCAGAGAAATGGCGAGAACATTTTAGCATGTCATTTGCAGGTTTGACCCGTCATCTTTTCATCATCATATTTGGGATTAAGGAGACCAGCTCAGTATAGTATCTTTATTAATCCACTTATTTGATCTTACTCTACTGTTTCCTTCAGTGTCTCCTTTAAAAGCATGAATTGTATGGAAACATAGTTTAGCCTCATCCAGACATACCTGAGTCTTTGCGGGGCTCGTGGTGTTTCCAGTCCGCAGGTAGAGTGGCATTGCTCTCGACCCCAAACAAGCCCCGCCTCTCCCGCTCCATGTTTTTCACACTGCAGAACAGCTGGTTATTGGTGTTCTGCAACGAAGACACAGAATAAAAACAGAAACTATTAACGCTAAGAAACATTTCAAAAACGTCCTTTGAACGGAAGTGAGGCCAATGAAATGTGGCACTGAGGAGCAGTGACGCACAGGTACAAACATTTACGACACAGACAGCTGCTGTTAATTAAACAACAACATGTCCCAATACTGCAAAAAAAAAAAGCTCTTAGGCCTGAAAACAGCCTCGAGTCTCAGACGTTGCCGAGGTGACATTCACCTTGATGGTGCGGTCGTGGTTGTTGGGCAGGTGGGGCAGTGGAGGTCGGTTCTGGCTCAATGTGTGGTAGCTGGGGTTGGAGTAGTAATGATGGTAACTGTGAGGAACATCTGGAGGCCAAAACAAACACATGGAATCACATCTGTGGCTATAAAACCACCTCAAGGTCAATAAAATGCATCCCTGTGGAAGAGTATTAAAAAAAAAAAAAAACGAGAGTGAGTTAAAACCAAAACCATGTATGACCGAGGACACATTTACAAACACCTAAGTCTAATGATCAGTGTATATGAAATACTAAATAATCCATTAAGAAAAAAAAATATGTGACTTTTTATTCACTGGTTGACAGGAGGAATCATTTCACTTGTTCAACACATTATCATTTGCCATCATATCATTTGGCATGATGCCATAAAATAATGCTACGTAAATCAATTGAAGTTGATCAAACATTAAATAGCAATATGATTTTTGGAAACACAAGCAAATGTATTTTTTTCTTAATAAAGATCCAAATTGAAAGAAACAAACGCGCAAACAGAAACATGAATTTGTCATAGTCGATTTTTTCACTGCTAAATCGCCGTATAACAGCCAGTTATTCAATGAAAGAAACATTTGACCTTCAGTATCCTGAAAGTCTCCTACATCAACCCGTATGTTCGTCATGAAAAAGATGACGTGCACATTTGAATGTGTTGTACTTTGTGTCCCTTTGTGTTTTTGCTGCTGACTGTTTTGGCCAGTTTTGGAAAAGAGGTTCTTAATCTCAACGGGACTAACACAGTTAAATTAAACATTCAAAATAAAGACAAGCCTTGTACAATTTCGAACCACTATTTTGCTATCGTATCTCTAGACATGTTTAGTTTCGTATTCAAAGGTAAATAAATGTGTGAGACTGAATAAAGTGAGAATGTATAAAAATGCATTTTTCAGTATCATTCAGGAGTTCAAAGAAGTGATAGAACAAGGCGTCATTGTAATGGTAAATGGACTTGAGCTTGTATAGCCCTTGTCTACTGACTGCTCAAACGATTTTAGGCTGCTATGTAAAGTGACCAACAGAAATGTACTAATCCCATTCATACGCTGCAGATGAAGCAGGGGAGCAACCTGGGGTTAAGTGTCTTGCCCGAGGACACATCTGACATGTGGCTGCAGGGGCTGGGGAAACCTTGAGAGACAACCGACTCAGCCACTGATTTGTATCTCCTTGTCATAACTATAACCTATTAACTGCGACCCGCTCTAAACGTCGTCCGTATTGTACCTGGAACAGCGTATTCAGAGTTGACGGTGCGTGCGGTGGAGAAGGAAACAGTCGGCGTGTTGTTCTGCTTGTCCTTCTGCCTGCGGCGGTAAAGCAGCAGCAGAGCCAGCAGCAACACCACCAGTATGACGAGCACCACGATGCCAGCGATGGCTCCCCAGGACTCCCTCTCGCCGGGAGGAAGAGGAACCATAACGCTCCCAGACTGCACAGAGGAGTCTGTGAAAACAGCGAGTGGAAAGTGAATTTAAGTAGCTGAAGAAACCTTCGGTAACGTTCCACAAACAGAAATAGAAGCCAAAGAATACGCTAATGGAAATCAGCACTTTTTAAAAAAAGGCTGAGTTTGAAGTCTTTCTGTCTGTACCTTCTTTGCACTCGTCTCCTCCACCTTCACACACACAGTCTCCAGTGAATCGGTCACAGATGAGGTTGGCTGGACAGGAGCAGGTCTGAGTACAGAACGGACCAAAGCGTCCTGGACTACACGCTGGAAAACACACAAGACAAGACACGCAAACAGAACACTCAATTATGTTGCAAAGATGATAATGATCTGCTAAAGTGATGCTTCACCAGATTCGGAATAATAAGCACAACTTGGTGTGACGCTGAGGAGAGTTACAATAAAGCTTTCTGAAGTTTTCCTAGCTATTTTCTGTCTTTAAAAAAAGTTTGGCTCAAGTTGTGAAGAAATATTACAGTCAGTTCTGTGTCTTTTTCCTTTTTTTTTCTGTGTGTGTGTGTGTGTGTGTGTGTGTGACTGGTTGACTTGTATTTTGCTGTTGCCATCATCTGCCCAAGGACAACAGATGGAAATTAGCTAGCTAGCTAAATCTGGTACAAAGCATCTCATCTCTTCTGAGACTAATGTTTTTTTGTACACTGTCCCTGATTCAAATAAACGATTAAACTTTCAACTATCTTAATGAATAGTTAACTGTTTCAGTCAAAGTGGGAGAGGGGGAGATGCAGGAAGAAGGAGATGGAAAAAACAAGTAATCCTTACCCCCTATTTTTGGACAGAGTACCAAAAAAACTATTTCGGGTATAAGATGCAGAATGAGTGGTGGTGAAAAGCCCTGTTAGGTTAAACCTTTATTTCAAGTCAAACTAATCTTCAGAAGGTGTGCAGAACAAAAGTCATTGACCTGGGGATAAATACTCATTAAGTTATAAAGCTGGTGAGCTTAAATGTTTTTAAATCCAAAATGAAAGACATGGAAGCAGATCCTATAGGATGTCGATGTTTAAACTCGGCTGTTTGAACAACTGATTCCCAGATATGACTCATAGATGGTTCTATTTCAATCCAAATTTTAGTGCTTTGTAAATTGTATTTTGCCTGTCTTTGTAACTTTGTGTTTTTGCTGCTGCCTGTCTTGGCCAGGTCTCCCTTGAAAAAGAGGTTTTCAATCTCAATGGGACCAACCTGGTTAAATAAATAAATACAAAATAAACAACTAAGGACTTGAAGTTGTGATTGATCAGCAGCAGTCACAGTTCATATTTGTCAATGGCTCTTTTCCTCTAGTAATTGAACCTTTCTTGCTGAGATATAAACTCACGTATGGAGCAGTCCGTCGCGGTCCAGCCGGGCAAACATTCACAGTGGCCGTCCCGGTGGTCACATGTGGAGTTGTTGGCACAGTTTATACAAACTTCAGAACACTGTTTGCCAAAGTAGCCAGCAGGACAAACTGTAAGACACACAATGTCATGTGAAAGATGACGCACAAGGTGACATTGAGATTGAATTTGTAGATATTTTTGCTGTATCTGTATTCAAAGGTTGCCCACTCTTAGAAAAAGTTTGGACTTGTTTGGATGGTTTGTTGAGCGCTGTGAAATTATTGATGTTAATTCAAACCTTGGTCACAGTTGGCTCCAGTGAACCCAGGTAGACAGTCACACTCTCCGGTCACATGGTGGCAGCGGTACGACTGACCACAGGATGGACACGACATGCTGCACTGCTCTCCATACATACCAGCTCGGCATTCTGGGAAACAAAACAAAAAAAACAAAAAATAAAGACAGAAATGGAGATGTTGTAAATCTAAAATTATGTCTAAATAAAAAATCCAGATGAAAACAGGACTCACTGTTTTGACAGGTGACTCCCCAGTAGCCTGCGCGACACACACATGCTCCAGTTTCCCTCACACACGTGTCACTGTTGGGACAGTGCTTTAAACAGGTCAGGTTACAGTGACGCCCCCACAGACCCTCTGAACACGGCTGGTTACAGCGTGAACCTGGAGGAAAAACAGAAAATCAGTGCAGGGCAGACAAACTGCCAAGAAGTGTTCATGCCGTTTGTTTTAATAAAGAAATCCAAAAAAATCCAACGTTTGTCTGTCTCCTGCGTCTCGTAGTATGGCCATATAAGGAAATCAAAGCAAATAGAGATTTCTTTTTTTTGGATTGGCACTTGTTTTTATAAATTGTATAACTCTATTCATCCTTTAAGCTCTTAGAGCGGCAGAAACATCTTCATTGATTTAACTGTTTCAGTTTATAGTTAATTTGCAGGTTTTGTTTCATTATTATGAAGTAAGCTTTATTTCTGAATATGGAGACATTTTACTTCAATTTCTACTACAGGTAAAACAATGTATCTGAATACTTCTTCAACAATGAATGTGATTATATTCGACTAAATACATTTTTTGCTTTTAATTCCTGAAAATGAAATTGAAATCTGCAGTAGAATTATCCTAAAAAGAATAAAAAACGGCCGCCAGAAAATGACAGTAGGTGATGTGAAGCCCAGGCTATGAGGAGAAAATTACCCGATGTCAGACATGAGACAGACTTATTTAAAAATGTAGCACACAGTGTTTCACTGGACTGGACTTATCTGTGGTACAAAGCCAAGCTGGCAGAGTCACATAGAGGACGCCATCACTTACCCGACCAGCCTGGCAGACAGTGGCACTCCCCGGTTGTTGCTTGGCAGCCGTCTGCATGAACACAATCACACCTCTTCAGGCAGCCTGGCCCGAACGTGCCCATCTGTGCATGTGAATAAACGCCAACAGGCACAGAATCGTCAGGGGAATCTCCACAACGTTGAGGCCAGCTCAGTCAGAGTCAGACAAAATACTACACTGGCAGAGTGTGATTGTATGGGCAGCCTGGTGGGCTGGCACGACAAAGACCGGAGGAGCACGTCTCCAAAACACAGATGAATGCGTTCAGAGGCTGAAGGGAGGAATGAAAAGCTGGGCCGCATTTCTACAGACTGTCCAATCTCAACTGACATAAATAATTATCACTGTAATGATTTCTGTGTTCATCTTATCAAACACAACAGCTTGTTTGTCTACTCAGCAAGACATGGTGTGGGTGTGTGTTGTGATGCAGTGTCGGGGACTGAGTCCAGGACATTTTCTGTGGCTTGTAGTGATTTGGAATATCAGTTTGCCCACCTCTTTACCTTTAATGAACAAATAAATCAAGCTAAAAAGCCTCATATGAGGGCATTTACCGGGCACGGTTGGTCACAGCGTGCCCCCTTCCAGCCGGCTGTGCAGGTGCAGGTTCCATCTGCAGGATTACATTTTGCCCCATTGGTGCAGTGGCAGGTGGCGTTGCATCCTGGACCCCAGGTTCCCTCAGAGCAGCGGAAGGAGCAGTCCGACCCCCGCCAGCCTGCAGGCATGGGAAAGACCGTCAGCCATGTTTAATTTGTTGAATAGTTGATATAAAGTTGCCTCACCAATTTTAGTATCTTGCATCCTTCAGTCGCTCAAGGTGTGAAGTAACTGACAAGTTTCCTGTTTGACAGTGATAGTGATCAAATGCACTTTTTACCCTCTTTACAGAAGCAGGTCCCATCAACAGGCGAGCAGTCGACAAAGTTTTTGCAGGAGCACTCCAGAGAGCAGTTCTTGCCATAGGTGCCACTTTTACATGGATTCTCACAGTGAACCCCCTGCAAAAAAAAAAAGAAAAAAGAAAAATATTTCAATGTGAAGGCAGGTCACTCTAGTCATTCAATCCAAGAGCTTCTGAATATTAAGTGGAATGAAAATCCAATTGAACTAATGTAATCATCCGCTGATTCATTACTCAATCATGATAATCTCCACCACTCACCGTGAACCCGGGTGCACACTTGCATTGACCTGTTGCACAATCACACACCCCTCCATTCACACACAAACACGGCTCCAGGCAACCGTGACCGTAGAAACCGTGAGCGCAGGTCTCGTTACAGAACAGCCCAGCCCACCCAGGCTGGCAGGTGCATTCTCCTTTCATTGGGTGGCAGCTGAAAAATGAACATATAAACATGTAAATACAGCTCGATGAGCCAGCTACAAACAATACAAAGGAGCAGTGAATAGGTAAGGAGAGCGAAAGGAACACTTTGCCAGTTTTAGCTAGGTTTCATATGATAGACCTATGTGTAAAAATAGTCCCAAAACTTAGGAAAAACTAGAGAAGTATTTCAGAGCTCAAATAGATTTATTTTGAAACGTAAAAGGAGACAAATTTGAGATTTTGTGAACCTTCATTCCCGGAGAAAATAATAAGAATCAGGAGAAATTGGCTTTGTGTTCACACAGATCAATAAGTTGTCCAGGATAAATATATGAAAACATTTTTGAAATCTCTTTTTTATTTTTCCTCTGGGCACTACTGTAGAAACCCCTCCTTCTTCCTGAAGACCTGAACTCACCTGAGTGTGTGTTTGTCCTGGCAGAGACACGTGCGTTCACAGTGCATGCCGTATTTGCCCGGTGCACACATCCTGTCCCTGCAGTGTGGACCGTGAAACCCCGGCTCACACAGGCAGCCTCCGTCGATGTTGTAGCAGCGAGCACCGTTCGCACAGTCACACACACCTTTGCAGTCCTGACCGTACGAGCCTGCAGCACACTCCTCATTACATCTGGAACATTGAAACAGAGGCTTAAAAAAGACACAGGAAATCAAGTCTGCTGTTGATTCACTGTTGAACGACAAACCAAATCTAATCCAATACTTTGTCTTGTGGTTGGACAGTAATGTTCTGAGCCTGATGCTGTATGTTTCTGTCTCTGATGTCTTTCAAACACTTTAAACTAATTTGAAAGAACAGCTGTAATAGTGGACTGTTGAGTGACTACAAATAGAGACAGACCAACCCAGCTGGTCTTTGATGATGTAATACAAAAGAACAAGCAACCACTCACACTTTTAAGACAACGTTTTTTTTTTTTTTTTGGTTCTTTACTTGCAATTTAACCCACATGAAATGTTCACACACCTACTACCGGTGAAGCCTTTAGCACACTGGCACTGTCCATTTTCAGGGTCACATTTGCCCCTGTTGTGGCAAACACACTCGTCAGCACAGTTTGATCCAAACCGTCCATCTGGGCAGCGCTCCGTGCAAACCGCACCCTGCAGGGAAACAAGAAAAAAAGACTTTGACGAAGACAGAGTGAAATGCAAAGTGAAAAAGAATGAAAAACTGAGATTGTGAAACCAACAAATAATCTTTTTTTTTATTAGGTCAGTTACCCTGACTTCAGAGATAGTTTGTCTCTCCTCGTTCGTGTGTTCCAAAACAGAGAAACCTTAAGTTCTCACATAAGCTGAAAAATTGAATCGTCTTATCCCCATCCATAACACTCAAAATGTTTTCAGAGTTATGTCAGTGTTAACAAAAAGAAACCGTTAGTGCGAGGTTGCGAGCCAGCTGGATTATAACAAATGACCTGATTTAAAGCCTGGCTGCTTCCACAGGTAACGTAAAGGGTAGTGTCAGTGCAACCTGAAAACGTACCGTCCACCCAGGGGGGCAGTCACAGACCCCTTTGCCCTTGCAGATACCACCGTTCTGGCAGGGGCAGCGTGCCTGACATCTTCTGGGACAAGCTTTCTCACAGCTGGAAGAAAAGGGACAGAGTCGATGATTAATAAACGAAGCTAAATGGACCACTTCAGTCCAAAGCACTCAGAGAGTCCTGGGACATTCCTGAGGACTGAAGTAAATGCTTCATACAGCAGTGACAGAGAGCAAAATAAAAGTGTTTTTGGAAGATTTTTAAGGTGGATTATTCATGCTTCAACACTTCCAGTGGTGTAGGGTAAATCAGTTCACTGACTTGAGTACTAAGTTTCAGTGCAACTTTGTTTATCTTCCATATGAATCTGTTTTTTTGCTTTCCTTTCTGAGTATCATTTTGTCAGAATTTCCCAACTGTTGTTTTTTTTTCTGTAAGTACCAACATAACTATCTGACACAAAAATGTATGTAAGTACTTTTTGAATTGTACTTCTGAATTAAAGTACCAATCAGGGTCAGCTTTTTCATCACTAGCCAATCGCAGAGACTCTGTGAGGAGAATGTTTTTCGGTTGCTTGGCAACAGTCAAGTTACAAACTAGCATCATCTCGTTTCTACTGTAAGTAACTCGTGTCGGCAGCTCGCTCTATCTCTCTCTCTCTCTCTCTCTCCTCGCCTCGGTGGTGCTGAGAGATGCGCAGCACTACAGTTGAGCGACGCACACAGTTTGTTACTTTTGCGCTTTTTCAAAAAATGTATATTGATCGGCTGTCAGTGTCTCTGTCGTCTGAGTCCGACATAACCAGCTGAGAGGAACAGATAGTTCGCAGTGACAAAGACTGGCGATCTTTCCATTTGGGTGTTCATCGTGCTTACTTCCTGACAAGAAAAAGTCTCATTCTCGGAGCAGCTGTACACAGATAGAGTGACCTTTTAGACCACAGTTCATATCATATAGCTCTAATATATTCTCTTTGTTGATTATAAAAAAATGTGTCGGAAAAGGGAGAGCAGTAGCTCCTGGATTACTATGAATCTTGGCATTACAGCAGCTGTACAGGAATCATCAGCACAGCTGGAACGTGTCTTTAACCAATCAGAACACTTGGCTGAAACTACCTGTTGTAAAATTCAATTTTGGGATATATTCTTTTCTAAAACCCCCGTGAGGTGAAATAACATGGACGGACTTCAGATACCAACAATTCATCGAGGTGCTTTATCCTATAATCAGTAAATCCAAACCTCCTCCCTTTTTTTTTTTTTTATTATTGAGCTCTCAGTGGAGCTTGTGCTTTCACATCAGTGCTTTAAGAGTTTCCATTAATATCTTGTGGGGAGGAATTTTTATAGCTTACTCATCCTCAGGGGCTTCTGAAAAACAGGGCGTAACAGATGACTCACGGATTATAGTGTTGTGTAGCAGGGTCGTTTTTCCATCTTAAAATTAAATTGTGAAAACAAATGACTAAGTAAGACCTCCCAGTTCTGCGTCTGTCAGACCTCCTGAGAAAATTAACATAATGAAGTGAGCTGTAATGAAATGGTGTTCCACACAGTTAGGCATCAAGTGTCTCATGCTTTGAATGAAGTAATTAAAATGCTTTTATAAAAAAAATGTCTCATACCAAGAAGGACACTGTGACCATGTTTAGCAAAGTTATAGGCCTTAACAACAAATATGGGATGTGCAAGATCATTGTACAATACTGCGATAACGAGATGATAAAAAATAAAAAGTGTATATTATTAGTTATAACTCACATTTCCTGTCTACCTGCTGTTTTTCATGTTTTACGCTATAATCGCAGTGCTTGCGACATGTTTCTCTTGAATACAAATAATTCAGAATGTATTTTTTTTCACCTCCGTCCACCTGCACACCTGTCACACATTCACTTGACATGCTATAGCATATATACCACACCATTTCTTTGTCCAAACCCAGATAATTGTGTCTGGGTCACAGAGAAGGACATAACAGGACAATGGATCACTGTGGGTGGACACTGTTTGTATTTACACAAATGAAACTTACACAATCCAGACGGTGGCGGTAATGCAACACATATGGATGCCAACCACCAAGTTTTTCTTGGTTTGGTTTAAAAAAAAATTGTTGGCACATCTTGCTGTGAGCCGCCTGTTGTACAGGTCTGTGTTTTTATTTTGAAGAATCGTTCTTCTGGATCTGTCTCTCTGACATACCTGCCTGTTTCCACTAAGCATTTCACCTGTCCTGCAACTTTCAAATTCCTCTGTGTTAGATTTCTTTAGGACATAAAAACGCTTTCCTGCACAACTTTTGTTTCCAGTTACGGTTCTGCTATTGTTTCTTTATGTCCTTCCTTCACTCTAAGCCTGATATTTCTGTATGTTTTTAAACCAGTTTGTATCAATTTTCTCCTCAAGGGACAATCAATAGAGTATTCTACATTAAGTGAAATAATCTGTGAGTTATCTAAATTTAAGAAATAAACAGTTAAAAGATTAACCACTCCATAGTTATTCAATATTTTCAAAAGGCTTCCATGTTTTTCTCCATATCCAAGAGTCATTTCATAATAAATCCCTTTAATTTATTAACGTGTACTTACAAAGTCCCAGTGAATCCGTCCCGGCATAAACACTCTCCTGTTGCTTTATCGCAGGATCCTCCAGTCCCACACTTGCACCTCTGCAGACAGCCTTTACCAAACGTCCCTGCTGGACATGACTCCTCGCAGTATCGTCCAATGAACCCCGGAAGACACTGACACTCCCCCTTTACGGGATTGCAGAGCGCTCCGTTCTCACACTTGCACTGCTGGCTGCAGGCCGGACCCCAGTGTTTGTCATCACAGGCTGAAAGGTAACGAGACAAACTGTTAATAACGTAATTGATTTTGTAGAATTTGTAATACTTGGACAAGTAATGTAAAATTCAAGCGCTTAATCATTTTGTTTTCTTATGCAATTTATTGATGCGTTGTCTGAAAATGAATTGTAACTTTTGAATTTTGATGCATTAGATTTGTTTTGTCATGTTGTCTAATTCTGTAAAAGTTCATGATACTGTTAACTGGATTCAAATTTAAAACAGGAAACATTTCTTGGAGACCTCAACGGAAAACAAAAGTAAATAAGTCTCAGAGCTCCTTAATACATGTCTGTGAAGTTTCTTGTTCTAAATCCACTCTGATCCTGTATTTGATCACGCCTATAAACCCCTCTATTTCAGCCCTGCTCAGTGTCTGTACCTTTAAATGTAAATGAGCTGTGTCTGACCACGCCCCCTCTCTAGAAGGGCTCAGGTGGCTCAGGCTTTCTCGCTCCATGTCCTATTGTTTACGGTGAGAAGGAAGACTCAGGGCAGAACAAACACCTAGCTGTGGGAGTGTCACCCACCTGGGGGAGGGGTTACTGCCCTTTGTGATGTCATGCAGAGAAAGTCTCCAAACGGCCTGTTTGAGCACACATTTTCTTAAAAGTGGAGCAGGCAACAGACAGAGAGGATGGACTTTTCTCATAATTTGGGGGTTTGTAGATAGACTAGTGACACATAGTGTAAAAAAAAACCTGGTAAAGTGTATTTTGCACAATATGTGACCTTTCAATATAAAAAGACTATTTTCTCACTTTTTAAAACTTAATAATGAAGAGAAGCAGCAAGGAAACTTGAAAGAAAATCTTTGAGTTACATTCTCTCTTTCTTTGCCCACATTTTCCAGTGATTCAAACCAGTCGTCTTCCAGTAACACAACTCCCACTCCAAACACTGAGTCAAACCTACTCTGCCATCCTGGAAATAAAATAAAAACACTTCAGTAAAATAAGATTACTCATGATTATTGTGACTTGCATACACTGCAAGTACAGCCATACTGCGTCTGTTCTGTTATGTCAACATCAGCTTTTCCTCTTTTTTATCATGGTGTCACTTACAGCAGAATATGATGTCATGAAAAACACATAAACAGAAACAAATCTGATTAAAGTCAGTGGGTTTAAACTGCACAGAGTTGAACAACAATAGAAGAGTTGACATAAAGTACTGACTCGTCCATGCATTACTGTTCTCCTTCATGCCTCCACATCCAAATCCTCCCTTTTAACTCAGGAGTGTCGAATTACCTACAAATACTTGTGCTCTGGCAGGGGGATTTGCATGGAGATCACAGGGTGGAGGGGTTTGAATGGTTAATTTAACAGAAGTCTGAGGGGGGTTTCACCGTGTAGCGAAGATTCACACAAGGTTTGGATTTCAATTCATGATGAAGAGATCTCAGTCCTCCGGATCGTGTTGTGAGAAACCCGATTGGTCAAGGGGGCATTCTTGAAATTTCTCATCAATAACTTTGCTCTCCTCGGACATTAGAAATCATCGAGAAAATGTGATATTCGATAGCGCTGACATAAGGCATAAACAGGCGCTGGTTATCCTCTCCTGATTGGAAAACGAGTCCAACAATTTCATGCTGACCTCTGTGCATTTTTTTTGTGTGAGCTGCAGACATCCACGCACAGAATCAAGAGTGCAGAGAGGCCTTGACACCACGTCATATTTGTCGACGTTCCCAGTTTACCCCCGTACCCTCTCGGCCACAGCTTTGAAAAAGTACAAGGACTGCTTTGACGATAATTACACAGAGGGCAGAGGAGAGCCAAATTTGGCCTGGAGCAAAGCGATCTGCTGCTGACTGTAGTGTTTATTGCACTAACTCAGAGCAGGACCCTTGCCTCCTTTGTTTAACTGAATCATAACTTTACTTGTTCTCTGTGTGGGCATTGCGGAGGGGCTCTGCTGGAGTGTGTCAGGTAAACTAATGAGAAACTCAGCTGGAGCAGCCTGTATGTTTACACAGACATTCTCCGGGACAGGAGGGGAGATTTACGAAAGGATCCACAGGGCTGGAAACAAAAGAACTGAGGGCCGATATATTCAGACAGAAGATGAGTGAATGGGTGAAATTGACTATATCGGAGGTGACATTTTGAGGAAGCAGCTGACCAGCAGGGCCTCGACTGACAAATGTCCAAACTTTTCCCATGGGTTTGTTTATCTGCGTATAAACAGTTATTCTCATTTCTCTAACACTGTTGCTGAGCTTGTTTACCTTCTTCAAACACGTGTACCTTAGCCAAATAAAGTGCATCTCACTTTGATAGGGTTATTATAATGACATGTTCTGATCATCTAAGCATCTCTAGACGTTTGACATTTTGACATGAAGGGAGCACTCTGGGGAAATTTTCTTTCAAGTGTTTGCATCTGTGCAGGGTACTTGGCATGTTTGATTATTTATCACAGTGACCCGACAAAAATGCAGAAGCCCTGATGTGTGCGTGACATGATATACAAACCCGACTTCCCAGAGACAAGGAAACAAATAGGAAACAAACATTATCAAGCAAAGCAAACCACAAAATAAACAGATTGTGTTCATGAAGCTTTTTAGATCTAAAAGGGGACACATTATACCCCTTCTCCACCTTTTTAAAACAGTCCCCTGTGGTCTAAATGAAACATCTGTGCTGTACTTTGGTCAAAATAAAACATGAGTCAAACACCAGAGGAGGTTTGTGACCCTGTATAATGGTGTCCCACAAGGAACAGTCCTTATCAACGTACTCTTTGAGCAGAGAACATGTTGATTTCCCACATAAGATCAAATATCTGAAGTGCAAACAACATGTTTTCCAGTATTTGCCCCTAACTGAATAAACTACAAACCAACTGAGGCATGAAGAGACACTTTACTCTCTTACTTATTTATATGTACTTGAAGAAGCTCTGAAGTCTCCCTTACAAATCATCTCTTGATTTCAAAAAGACTTCCCAAACAAACAGCTGATTAACAGGATGGAGATGTGTTTATGTATCCTACAGACATCAACATGACCTCTACAGGGATACACATCAGTATCTGAACTAATGCATGCATGTAGACCCAGTAATTGGCCCACAGTTCAGAACTGGCATCTCTTGCACACTGACATGGTGGGAAAATTCCTCCTTTTCCCCTGAGAAGTGTCCAAGCGTTGGTTTGGGTTTTGCTCGCATCGAGAGTCCGAAAAATCTCACGGACATCTAACGGAGCCTCGCTGCTTATTTTTGATTCTGCTTTCTGAGTCCCTCAGTCAAAATCTACTCTTAAAAAGGTTTTACATTAAGTATAAATATGTTGACATAAGATTTCCACATCGTTGCCTTTCTCTTTCCTCAAGCATGACTATTACTGCCTGTTTTTTAAGAGAATAGATTATTCTCCCACTTCTTTCACCTCTACACATTCATGGACAAACAGTCCTAAGAGGGTTCAGCAAAAAACCTCAGGCTCCTCTCTTATTTCCCATCATTAGATAACTCAACACACAGGCATCCAGGAAGTGTCAGGCCTGATTCTGCCAAAAAAGAGACTCCATTAGAGGACAAAATGGAGGAGCCAAGGCTGCAGAGAGGAGAAGGAGTGTAAGAGGAGAAAAGAGCCGAGTGAAAACAAAGAAGAAGAAAAAAGAAGTGCGGGTTAGAGGAGGGAGTGTAACGAGAGACGAAGAGAACTGAGCCATGCAAGAGAAAGAGTGGGGTAACATTTTCCATTTCCCCTTCCCATCATCCCCCTGTCAAAAAATCAACCGCTACCCGGTTAAAGCTAATTCCCGCTCTCTGCAGAGACTTTGGGGAGAAAATGCAGTGAAGCTGTGTACTATTGACCCAGCTGACTGCCATGAAACGAGCTGAAGGTTGTGGAAAAAAAAAAAAAAACCTCCATCTTAGTGAGGTGAAGCAGCAGCTCCAAGTAATGCGGTTCTGGTTTCACACTTTGGGTTGTTTGGACGATCACGCGTTGGAGATTTGGGACAAGAGAAACAGGGTTAGACTCACTGGCTGGAGATGGTGCCTTTAAGAAGTATTATATAACTGTTTCTGCTGACTTTAGTTTTGTAAAATACATCATTCAAAGAGAAGGAGCAAGATTAATGCCTCTGTTTATAACTCTTTTGTATTGACTAAGGCCACTTTAATTACATTAATCTGATTTTACTTATTGCTCTTGTGTAAATGCTCATGCTTTATGAGTTTGTTTTATTACCCTTGACTGTTCACTTCTCAGCCAAATCAGTAAAGGCAGTTCCACATGTGAACTATCATTATTAATGTTGAATAGTAACTATGAGCGAGAGGTGGAGGTGCAGCTCCTCGTCCCTCTGGTGCGATAAACTGTTTCTGGACTGATGCTCACATCCATGACTCAGTGTGTGCGTGCTGTAATGCTCCCTTGCTGTTTCTATTGGAAACTCCTTCAGTGTGTGATGGAGTGCCGTGTGTGACTGACCGGCCAGTTGTCATTTCCTGTTGTGCATGTAAAGTTTTATTTGTGTGCGCACCTGAGGAAATGAAGAAGGGGACAAGAGAAAGAAATGGGGGAGGGGGAGAGGGGGGAAGAGAGGGAAACGGGCGAAGGAGAGAGTGAGGGAATGTCTGAGCGAGGGGGGAAAAAAGCGTATTCATACCGCTGGAACAGTCGTCTCCTCGCCAGCCTCCCTCACACTGGCAGCGGTCCGGAGCGACACATCGACCGTGGACACACTCCTTGGTACAGCGAGCTGTTGATGAGAAACACACTTTATAACAGGACCAGCCTTGTGGAGAACAGTCAACAAAACATCTGTAGGATGCAATGGATGACAAACAGCAAAGTGTGCAGGAACTTGAAGATGCACAAAGAGCACAGATCAGATTATTGACCCCCCGTTTTTAAATATCTATTTTATTTGACCCTTTTTTAATTTTCTTCTCCTAATGAATTAACACATTTAATAACGGCTTACAATGCGAGTTTCAGAGCAGATTTTTCAGATCCAAACATAGCTCTCATGAGACATGCCTCCTCCATCCCTCAGCCCCCTACCCTCCTGTCTCCACACATCCCCCACCCCCACTGTCCTGTTTCACTTGAAGGGTTCTGTAAGGCAGAGACAGCAGCAGAGGAGTGCTAATAAATATCAAAATAAAAGTCTGCAATCGACCTGTCTCTCTAGTTCAAATCTAATGTTTGGTACCTTTCAAGACCCCTTCCCTAAGGGGGCTTTTGCCACTACATCACAAGTACATCACCTTATTTTGCAGTTATCAACAAAAATAGAGCAAAGCCTGCAAGATAGTTCATACAAGCAACATGCTTTATTTTCCACAATCTCCTGACAAGCATATTCTCCTACATTGCTAGTCTATTTAATCTGCAAGATTTCCGTTCTCTCCATCTTCTCTGTCTTTGCCAGTGCTGTCCCATACCAGTGCTGCACTCGTACTTTCAGCCTCACTACCCCCCCCCCCCCCCAGCATCCACCTGCAGGCTGGGGGGCTTAAATCTCCTCACACCACACATTTCTGCACATAAAACAAATCTGCAAGAAGTGATGAGGTCGAAGACTATATAGACGCCAGACTCAAACAATGATTCATTGCTGCAATAAGCATTTCGAACCATAACAAACATGAGATGTCTGAGCCACTAGAGGGCGTTGTCACTTGGACATTAACAGACTTTATGCCTCTTTTTGGAGAACTTCTTTAATGCACTCTTGAATCGACAAATTCCTTTTTTCCACAAGATTATGTAAAGTTGCATTTAAATTATTACCAGTTGTACGATTCTTGCCGCTGTCTTAAAAACATAATTTGTGTTTTCTAGTTATCACAAACCCATGTGAAAAAGTATTCACATGGCTGCATTGTCAGAACCTCCTGAACAGTGCAGGAAAAGACAAACTCAGCGAATGGCAGAAAAGCAAAAAAAATGTCTTCTCCTTGTATGAAGAAGCAAAGTATCGCTGAGGATGACCACATGCGACACTATTTTAACTTTGAATGACAATTCTGGCAACCAGTACCATCACTGTTCCCAGTATCCTTTGATGACCTTAACAAAATCTACCGTAATGCTCTCCTCTGTTCAAATCATTCCTGGTTTTTGACGCCCACTCGCTGCCTCAGTCCATGAGAATTCATCGTTACAGCTGCTCACAGTTGGTAGGAGGTGTGTCCTGTACGACTCACCCTATCAGGGCTGTTTTTGTCCCTCTTTGACTAAAACAATTACACGTCAGTCATGATCATATTTGTAATGCTGCTGAGAGAACACTCTAAAGTAGAAGTCAACTTATTGGACTTCTCAAACTATTATCATGATGTCTATCAACTTTTTGACTTTACTTGATTAGTTCCTTTTTCTACTGAGATGAAATATCAACTGAAAACTCAACCACTATTTTCAAACATGACTTTCTGTTACTCATATTAACGATGTGTGATGTTTTTATGGGTTAACCATTAGTGTGCTTTTTCTTTAGATGTGTGAGTGTTTTGGTCTTAAGAAACATGGGCCGTGTTTCATATCGTTCGTAGAAAGTCTGCAATGATTTAAAGGTCTTTGTTATTCAATCAGAACTCGTTCTGACTGAGTAGCATTCTTTCTCTCGACATGTTTTCCAGCCGTCATAATGTGAGCGGCCAGCCCGACAGCTGGACTCAACCGTACAATTGCAAGCATCAGTGTTAGATGCCATTCATACTTTGAAGGCCCTTTTCCCTACATGGGGAGACTTTGGCTTTCAAGCCAGCATCATAAACACTTCTACTATCAATTGATTAAATTCTAACAAGCATTCATGACTACAGACTTATAAGATGTCTGCATATTTTTTTAATTTAGAGAAGAAAAGTGTTTTCTAATCACACACCACTGAAAACCAGATGCTATGTATCAGAATGATTTTTGTTCTCTTCCATCGCTGCACGAACAATAACTTAACTGATTATCTTCCTCTGGTTGTAGGTGTGTGTGTGTGTGTGTGTGTGTGTGTGTGTGTGTGTGTGTGTGTGTGTGTGTGTGTGTGTGTGTGTGTGTGTGTGTGTGTGAACACTGGAGGCTCTAAAAAAGAGGCTAACATGTCATCGAATGGAGGAGGTAAGTGTAATTACATATAATTAGCTGTACTTCAGAAATAAAAACAGAGTACGGAGAGCAGGTTAAGGAGGAGGCACTGACAGATGACACGTTAAAAACAGAGATATTTCAATTATAGAACTCAAAACAGCCATCAGTGGGCTCCATCTTGGCTTTTGTGATGCCAGTCAGCTAAATACAAGCTTTTGTGTTTGAATACAAAAGAAAACACAAACACACACGCACACACACACACACAAAAGGCATGCATATTATCTCCGCTGAATGACATTCAGCTCCCTAATGTCAGTTTTCAAAACGAGAAACCTTGTTATTACCGGCGTGCATTTCTGAGACCTTCCGATGATGTGTGAGAAGGTTTGTGAAGCGAAGGTGGACTTTTCTCAAACTCGCATGAAGCCATGTTTTTTTTTCACTTTGTTGAACGCTCACTGCCGACTCAACAATAACAGTGTGTCAGCAAACTGTTGACAGCTGCAGCAATTTTGGTATTTTAAGAAAGCAACAAACTCCGTGGTGCTTTTTTAAACTTCTGCACTCTTTCATTGATCGTGCAACACTACGATTTTTTTTCACAATCCTGACTCTGTAAATGGGCAGAACAATTGGTTCAGAGTGAAGCACACAATAGCCGGTCATGCACATATAGCTTCCTTTTTTGATAGCTTGATAATATCTGATGTTGTGATGTTAGCTGTTGTTGCAGGACCGATGTTATTTCTGCTGTCTGAAGCTGACAGTCTGGCCCCGAGAAGCTGTTTCATCATCTCTGCATGTCAGCTTTGCAGCAACAGCAGTAGTGACAGTTTGCTAACTCACTTCTAGCTAACATTATGCATTGCGTACTATGTCTCCTTTGCCTTGGCCAAATAAATGGTATGTGTAAATACAGTGTTTACAGCACCAATGTTACCAACTCAATCAACAATATTTGCAGTGTTTGAGCAGAATCGCACACTCCAACATAGTTAGCATGGTTAAGCATAACCAAACTAAAAGTCCGACATGTTAAACCCTTTTGTTTCTGAATAATTGACTGATGCAATCCTGGATGTTCTTTACTAAAATCAGAAATGTTGGATTTAAATATTGTTTATCAGCACTTTTCGTATCAACAACGTGGGATCCAGACTAGAAAATTTTGAAACTTTTTGTTGGCCTCATGAACAATATAATCTGCCAGTTTTCAGTCCAGTGATGAGACCGTTCACATGAAGTTTCTGCTCTTCCACCCTGAGCTGTACACACAGCAGTGCCACACCTCTGAACTCATCACTAACAGATGCTCAGCTGATGAAATAAGAGTTGCTCAAATGATGTGAAATCCTCAAACTGAAATGAAAATATGTATATGAGGGTTTGTCAGCTTGGTTGACATTTCCAGCTTGCAGCAGCAGCAGCAGCAGCAGCAGCCAGTTTATACAGTGAGTCTTCAGCACCAGAAGCACCAGTGGGAATAAAGCCTGTCATTATGGTTATCTCAGTGTCATATGCTACTCATATTAACTTAGCAGCACATTTCAAGGAAAAAGACCAAAAACATTATCAACTTTCTGTGGGTAATGATGATTTGCGTCAGAAATGTGATGACTGTCTTTTCTCTAACCTTAGCGGTCATTTTGGTGTTCAGCTGGATTACTGTCAGTATGCTTCAAGAAACATAGCCATCGACAGTACGACTTTACTGATCCTCAACATCTGACTGAATTATAGCTTATAACTATAGTTTATAGCTTTATAAGGGGTGGATGTATATTTGTGCACTGTAGTAAACTCAATCATCACTGAAAACAATGTTCAAACAAACAATGACTCTTTTTCCGGTACAGAGGAATCAAACGAACGGACACATATCTTCTATTTTACTTGATTTATATATTTTGCGCTCATTAACTGAGAGAGCCTGAATCAGTTTATACACAATGTGTGTTTGCAATCAATCAATCTTTGTTTGTATAGCGCCAATTCAAGTAACAAGTGTTATCTCGGGACACTTTACAAAGAGCAGGTTAAAAAGACCTAACTCATTGCTAGATTACAAAGACCCAGTGTTAAACCATCATGAGCACTTAGCAACATTTAGCAAAAGTTGCAATGGCAAGAAAAATCTTCCTTTAAGAGGCAGAAATCTTGGGCAAATCCAGGCTCATGAAGAACTATGGAAACTGCGCTGGGCTTGAAAATGGGATAGGTGAATTACTGTATCGATGTATTATTTTGAGTCTGGGTTCAGAGGCGTGTTCTCATGTGTTCGACCTCCGTGGCTAACAGAGGTCACTGAGGTCATGTCCTCAAAACGAAGCTGGTTAGGAAACTGAAGTTTAAACTGATGCCTCTGTATGACCTTCAGATATTAATGAGACCATCGGCAAAATCAATAAATTCATTCATTCATAGGGTTAGGGTAAGTGTAACTGCTGCTGCAGGGAATGCAACCGGTATTTATTTGTGGGGATGGGGGATTAAACAACAGGTTAAAACCACTGATTCCCTGAAGTTAGAGGACTGTTTTGTTTCTTACGTCTGCTCGCCTGCTGTTTGTCTTGGTGCTAAAGATGTCAGCATGCAGACAGGCGGATTGTTTAGAGGTTTCCATAAATACTTACGGACACATTTGTCTCTGCTCTCGTAGTAACCCGGACAGCACTGGTACCTCTTTCGGTAGTCGGTCTTCACCGCCTGCCTGTAGGCCGTCTTGTATGTGATCCTGAAACAATAACAGACAGGATGCTTGGACCTCCCAAACTCACAGGAGAAGGAAGTTAGCCTGACAGGAAAAGAGTCATCATGCTGCTGCTGCTGCTGCTACCTGTGGCGCGTGCATCTGTAGGAGGTCCGAGGGTCCGAGCAGGGCTCCTCTGTCACATGGTCATAAGGATGAAAGTAGGACTCCTTCACTGAGGTGGTGAAGCTGAAAAATAGCAAAACAACAGAAATAGGAGAATTGAAAATATCAAAAACAAAACAGATGAAAGCTTTGTCCCAATTCAGGGGCCGGGGTGGACTTCAAGACTGATTGCTTCACAGCGGGGCATCGAAGGCTGTCAGAGTTTGAAGGCTGCCTCAAATGGGGGGCCGACAGATGTGTCCATCTTTTCCTGGGCCACCAAGGATCCATCCAGTGCATCCTTTGTGGCTGGACAGTTCTTGAGATTCATTGCACGCCAATTCAAACGGGATGGCAGATTCTAAGCTGAGAGTAGTTGTTTCTGCACGTCTATCAAGGTTAAGCGACAAGATCGCTGCTTAGTAATCACAGGGTGAGGGGAGCAACAGCTGGTGAAGCAAACAGGGAATCCTCTTTAAACCCAACCGTGTCATTTCAGTTTGGCCTGAGCCAAGGATGGGTCCTTCGAAGGATGTTAACCCTGAATTTGGACAATCCTAGAGTTTTCCTTATTTTATCAGTCAGATAGAAATGTCCCTTAGTCCATCACTTCAGTCAAGACTGAAATAATTTGTCAAATTTTAGATCTACTGACATTAAACTGGGAACAGACCTTATAAACGATCCCAGATAGTAACTTTTAATCGTTATAGTGAATCAGCAGACAGTTAATGGGCCTCTACTCTTACAGCCAGTTTAGGCGACGAGTGCGTTGCTTAGAAATCACAGGGTGAGGGCAGGAACAGCTGGTGAAGCAAACGGGGAATCCTCTTTAAACCCGACCGTGTCATTTTAGTTTGGCCTGAGCCGTGTACACAGCCTACGAGGATTTTAACCCTGAATTTGGACGCCGTCCTAGAGTTTTCTTATTTATCAGTCAGATAGAAATGTCCCTTAGTCCATCACTTTAAAAAAACCTTCAAATTTTAGATCTACTGACATGAAACTGGGAACAGACCTAATAAACGATCCCAGATAGTAACTTTTAATCGACATAGTGAATCAGCGGACAGTTAATAGGCCTTACTCTTACAGCCAGCCATTTTTCATTGCAAAAATGAAGAATACTCACTGCTGTGTCTGCTTTCTGAAATGCTAAACGTTTCTATTTTCTATGAGCTGTATTCATTTTAGTTTTTGACAAATAGTTTTTGACAAATAGTAAAACAAGCAATTTGGATACATCTTGACTTGTGCCGCATCGCTGCAGGTATTTTTAACAGCTCTCTGACGTGTCATACATGAACAGTTGACAGATTATTTTACTAAATAATCACATGCACATGAACAATTTAAGATCATCATCCACCCCAGATGAAGCATTCATGCATTTCACTCATGTTGTTTACATTTTTCTGAGATGTTTGTGTTGTCATTTACGTGATGAATTCATGTCTTGACCCTCATAAATCCTGTTAAACAATAAAGTACACTCTCAGACATCATATGTTAGCAGTTCTGTTTTGGGAAAATATGCACATGCAAAAATAGCACCATTTATTAGTTTGTCCCTGTTGAGCAAGCACTCACCTCTCCCACAGGCTGCACACATTGGGGTCTCTGGGGTTCAGAGAGAAGCTCAGACCAATCAGGAAGCTGAAGAGCAGCAAGGGGCGGAGCTCTGCAGAGTGGGCATGGTCCTGATGAGAAGGGGGACAAAAGCAGACAGATTTTCACTAAGGGTCGCAAAAACCAAAACATTTCAGAGCCAAGACATATTTGTAATTTTGCTTGGGGAAAAAAATAGAGAAACAAAATGTTTAGAATGCCAAACAATCTGATTCTGCATATTGTTTAGCTTAAAGAAAAATGTTGAAACAATGACAGGGACGTGGGATCTCATGCAGTCATGTGTAATATTAATATGCCACGATAAAAAACAACAATCCCACAAAAGTCCTGAATCTTTGGAGTTGTTTTTTAAAATCTGTGCAGCCTTAAAACACGGCTGACCAAACAGCGGAAAAAATGTTGCACTAGCATGGAAAAAGTAGAAAAAAAGTTCTATTCCCGTTCTCTTGGATGTAAATTCATTGCTTAGTTTATTTGTGTACACTGTAAATAACATTTCAAAGCCTGTTTTTCATTTATATAAAAAAAAGCAGTTCTCTGTGCCTATAAATTGTGGTTTCGATTCAGCTTGTGATTGTTAAAGAGTTCATTAAACGCTCAGCAGAGGTGAGGCAGAGAGCCAGACGTGAAGCTGTCTGTTCCCCGCCGAGCTCCACGCCGTCTCAACAGGGAGCATAAAACACAGGCCTGACATTAGACAGATATATGGGGAGGAGGGAGAGCAGGAGAGAGAGAAAGGGGAATCAGAGTCAAGAAATGTGACTCCCAACTTCATCCTGACCCCGATCAATCAGAGCCGCAGTGAAGCCTCCACACTCCTCTCTGTCCCCGTCCACGCTCCTGCAGCATCTGGATCCCATCAGTGCATCGACCCAAGAGAGAGCTTCAGCACAGGGACCCTGTTAGGCTCTCAGGGAGCAAGAGGGAGGCTTTTTTTTTTCCTTCTTCTTTTCCTCTTAAAATATCCCATGGAATTGAACAGAAGTTCAGCAGGCCAGTACTGTGAGCCGTCTGGTAGAAGTATCGTGGGAATGTAACGATGATGTTGACTTAGGATCAGTACGGTGCGGTCCCCTCTGTTTTCTCAACAAGTCCCCCCTGACAGAATTACAGTATCCCTGCTTCTCATATCATCTCCACATGGCCTCAGGGACATTTCTGATATGTTGGGACAGTGACATCACAGCCGTGGATCAGGATTATCTTCTCTGCTCAAGTGAGCCATGAAAAAAAAAAATCTCAGATCTCAGAAGAGGGAGTGACAACAAACGTCTCTTTGACAGTGTCATCTTTCATGACAAAACTTCCAATAGTTGCTGAAATATTTCACTCTGGGCTTAAGTGAGTGAACGATCATCAAATGTACTTCGCTCCCCACAGAGAAAGGCTCCTAGCACGGCTGTAAATACAGACTCAAGCCTGTTTTAGTCAAACTTTAAATTAAGAAAAAGGTTATCATTTTAGTCTTTGGATGTTTGAGTAAAAAAGAGAACTACAGAAAGTTGTACCCTAGTAGTAAAAGTAGTTTCAGATTTATAACGGCCTGTGCCCATTGACGCTGCACAGAAATGCAGTTCAGCACTTTCAGCGCGCTAAGAGTAAAAACATCCTCGAAGTCAGCTGTTTTCTGTTGCTGCGCTAACAGAGCTCACAGTTGTAAACAGTTCATCTATGGGAACACCTCTGCGTTCACCAGTTGTCCCTTCTCCCTCACCGACCAATCAAAATCGAGAAGGGGCAAGGCTTTGGATACAAGATGACAACAATGGCGGAACAATGGAGAAAATCATCTGACTCGTCGTCTCGAGGGTCGAGGTCTATAGCTGCTAGTGCCAGGATACGTTATACCTTTAGATTACTTTGATGTTTTCTAGGTGATATTTATTTTGAATAAAGGAAAATATTAAGTGCACTGAGCCTTTAAAGCAGACCTAACATTCACTATCGAGGGAAGCATACGTTCAATTTCATAACCGAAGCATCAATGAGCGCCGGTGAGAAGCGCTCTGAAACTGAGGTCGTGTGCGCTGTCAATAGACACCAGCCCCAACTCCATCACCAGATTACACTCTGTTTCCCGCTCTGTCTCCTAGTTTTGATTTGTATTGTTAGAAATGAGCCAGAATTCTGTCGCACAGTGTTTGTGTCTTCTAATAAATGTGTGACCACTTTGAAGTTGTTGTTAGTAAGGGTTATATTTAAATGACTAAAACTTTGAATATGTGGGATACGATTGTGGCAAGCTTCAGTATAAACTCAAGAGAAAATGAATTTTAAATGAGTGACTTAGAGATTTGACCCTGGTTTCTGGCACAAGTTTACACTGAATCATTTCACTGTTCAACTGCTTTCTAGCTACTTCTCCTTCATGCCATCCATTTGTGGTGCAGAAACATATTTCTCCCACTTTTCACGCACATATTTGCATTTTAAGTCACTTTACTGTCTTTGGGAAATTTTGGGAAATTTCCTCGGGTGAGGGAAAGATTAGCCTGTGGTTTAGTGAATAATACATGCCTCTCATGCTGCCAAGGTCAGGGATCAACTCCCACAAGAAAAACGCTTCATGAGTGTTTACAAAGTGAATCCAATCTTTGCAGAATGAAACACCTCTAAATAAAAATGATTAGACACATCTACGATCTATCAGAAGCTCATTATTCAGGTTTAAGTCTGCATTAACTCTATTGAGTGACTGGTAATCACTGCAGAGGATTTGGCACAGTGAGGCCTGCATCATAAATCAGATCTTCTGCTTCTGATAAACAGCCTCGTACAATCCCTCCTACCCACCGTCAGGAGTTAATTCACTCGCTGGCACAAACGCCTAAAGAAATCTGTGGCACAAAAACAGGATTTTATGAGAACAGGCATATGGCTTTTATTAAGAGGAGTCATCAACTTCACCAGCCACTTCATTGGACTGGGGGTAAATATTTTTCATTACCTTCTTTTCATTTTAATTGTGCTTCATTAGGGAAAGGCTTCAAACCGCATGGGAATTCTTCAACACTGAGAAAAGAGCGCTTAATGAGTGCAGAGGGAGTTGTTTTGAAGTCAGTCTCAGCCGTTTGCATTGAATGTTTGGGTTACGTACAGTGGGATATGGAGGGGGATGGGGGGGGCAGGTAGACGTCTGGGGCTCCAGGTGGTTCTACAATCATCTGGAAACTGGACTCTTCAAGGAGGCGACCCTCCTTTTTGGTGGTGTAGAGGAGGACAGGTACTCTAAACACAAAGTTTTTCATGAAACTCCACCACAAGTGTGGACTGATTGATTCCTCCCCTTTCCTCCTTTTTCACATAATAGTTTTCTTCTCCATTACAGTCAGTCCTAAGCTATCATTATACTTCCTAAGAGCTTTTTTCCAAACTGCAGCTCTGAACCCTTTCACTCGGACAAGCTTGGCAATGAAGCAGAAAAAAAAAACGAGTAGCAAGATGTATCCCAACTGTTTTTTCGTTCACTTTTGAGCAGAAGCAGCGTCCGAGAATTATGATTTGGGAAGCTAGGGGACAGCTTGATCGTTAAAGGGGCTTATGATTTTTAAAAGCAATTAAAAATTAAATAACTACTGGAAAATAAGACTAACTTATCACTGATATAAAACAGATATGCACGTCACGTACAACACGAGCATACTAAATTCAGAATATTATAAATGAACAAATCAAATGAATACAATAACCACAAATAGTTGAAATCCAAATCACAGCATATGTGGGTTTACTCACAACTTCAGCTTTGAGCAAAAACAATATAAAAAAAGGTATATTCAGCTTACCTTACTATGGAAACAACAACGCACAACTCATACTAGCTCGCAGCTGCCTGCCAGCTGCAGATAATGTTAGCCTGAGGGAAAACAGCTCGTATCAATCGTAGCTTACTTTTACCTCACAATGCCTAACTATTCCTGCAACTCCTTTAAAAAGTCCTCTTCTTCATGGTCATCCTCATAGTCCTTAATATTACCATGTTTGGCAACAAAATGTGTCAACCACATTAGCTTCCTTAGCGCTTGAATTGGCACTTTGTTAACGTTGCAACTAACATCATCAACACTCTTTTCTCTTTTCCAAAGCAAAAGAATATCAATCCATAAATGAATGTGAATATATTCCTCACTCATTTCGCTGTGAGCAGAAGTGTATTTTCATCTCTACCTGTACTGTTTGACTCTGAGGAAGACGCTTTATTAAATTTGCCTTAAGTGATTCATGCGCTCCAGTATTTTCTTTGGTTGCTGTTTTGAAGAAGGTATTCACTGAATTATATTTTGTACATCTGAAGTTCTTCTCTGAGCGCACCGACCTCCAATTGTGGAGTGGCTGAAGCACAAGAGTTTCCTTTTACTTTGCTAGATCCCTCTCCTGCTTGACTCCTAAACTCGTTATGTTAATGAAACCTCTGTTAATTTGGAGCTAACTAGTTGCAGACTTACACACTTCACATCCACTGGTGGAAAACATCAAATCAGGACCAAAATGACTAAAAGCTCACAGTGGTAGAGGTTTCTCTGGCATATTTTGGTCCTGTTTGTAATGTAAAAAACAGGCAATCTTTTCTAAAACAAAGAACCTTTCATGTGGCTCCGTAAAGCAATACAAAATAGGCAAAATGCAGCACACGCGCGCACACATGCACACATGCACACATACACTCTCAACGCCCACCACACAGTTTGTAACTGTTTCAAGTACAGACTGTGTGTTTTCATCTTCTGGAGACTTTACACACACACATCAAATGAGCCCCATACGCTGCAAAGAGTTCAGAGACAAACTATTTTTAGTGTCTGAGGACATTCTGCGATTTCACTGAGCTTCTCTTGACTCATTTCTGTCAAGGCCCAAAGTAACGGCCCACGCGTACATGCACGCACCGTACCATCTGAGGAATGCTGTGCGATGTTTAAAAGACCCACAATGCTCTTTCCAGAACCGCACAGGGGCTTCAGTGAAAACAAAGCCCAACTGGAAACAGATGCACCAGTTTTTATATTGAATCTCACTTGACACTCGTATCTACATTATAAGTATATTCTTGGAAAACTAAAGGCCCTTT